AAGCAGAAAATATCAATTATGCAACTCCATCTGCCTCTCCTGTCAAGAATGCTCCTTATTTAAAACACTAAAAGTGTGTTTAATCCTAGGCCTTTATCATCACCATGGGAAAGTATGAACCAATGGAGCTCACCCATCTTCTGTCCCAGTGCGATCCCAACCTATTCCTTCAGTCTTCCACTAAACAGCACTTGACTAGTCATTTTCTGCATATGTAATAAAATTCTTTCAAGTCCTTGTTTTATTCTGGCATGTGAGTGCAACACATACATTAAACATTAGAACACCAACCACCCTCAACCAGCTTCTGTGTGGGGATGGTAGCTACAATGGAGGTTTTCTATTTCTATAATATTTCTATCGGAAAAATCTAAGTCTTCCAGGAAAGAGCGTGTCAGATTCAGAAAATTTTGAACTAAAACTGAGGGCCAACAACCTCTTCCATGAGCTGTCACCACAAGTGAGCATGTGATTAGCCATCAGGTATCTGGTAATAGCATATATGAAGAGCATGCCATGAGCACTGAAGACACAGAACTGCATTTTTAATTTAAACTCATCATCTGTGTTTCTTTTAAATTAGCATGTCCCATTTACGGGGTTTTTTTTTCCCTTTTAAAAAAAACACACCGTATTCAACTTGCTGAAGTCCCTTAGGAATATTTTTGAAGTCCTGGGAACAGAATAGTCTTCTGCTTCAAGATGGAAAGGCAATGAGCAGTCTTCATACTTCCACAATGTCTCTTATTTTGAGAGTGCAAACTAGTATTAATTCTAACCCGCTGGAAGAGTTTTTTCTAAAGGCGAGAACTACATCTCTTCAACACTACTACTGTGACATTATGAAACTTAAAGATCTCATCAAATAGTTTCCATTTTGAGTACTTCAGCAGGTAACATCATCTCACCTAAAAGCAAGTTAACCACCAATCTTTGTTCTTGTGAGGTACCAAAGGTTTTTATAAAGAACCAGAAGGTCTCTGGCATGCTGCTTTCAGATCCTGTGATACAGCTAAGTACACTGTGCGGCACTCCTACTACACAAACAGGTGCTACAGACTTTAAGACAGGAACTCATCTGTACTTTGTGAAAGGACCCTTACCTACAGCTGGTAATACATACAACGTGGCAGGGAACACAGAGGTGGGATTTAGCGATGAGTGAAGTCAGACACCTTAGCATATTTGAATTTTTATTTCTCATGCCTAACCCTTTATTTTACTGGGGCTTATACTAGTTGTATGTCTGTTTTTCGTTACAAATACTGTGGCATACTTTAGAAATAAGTATACACTATGAACGTCAATAAACCACCTAAGTAGTACTTTCCCCAGACCCCATTTGTAACATCTGAATAGCTTTTTCATTTGTCTCAACACAGCTTTTCAAGACATTCTGGCGCTTTCCTGCCATCCGTATTCAAGGTCTTTTACCCAACACATTAACAAAACAGTTGTTTGGGGTTTTTTTTGTCTCTGAATATTTTCAACTTTTACAGACTAAGACCTTCCTACCACCACATTTCTGAGCAATAACCAAAATAGTCACCTCTGCTACAGACTGAAGACTCCGGGCAAACTTCAGCTGGTTAACACCATGATGCACAGGTTTACCATAGGTTGCACCTTTCGGGACTGGGCGTTTCCGACCACCACGACGAACACGGACACGGTAGATAACATAACCTAGAAGAAATGATGACTTAGGAACCAGAAGAATTCTGTAGTGTAGCAAATGCAAATCACAGCAAGGCAATTTTGATGCCCATACTGCATTTCCAACACCAAAAGCTTCACACGAAAATTAGATCAGTATACCGATCTTCACCAAAACATACATGAGGTGGCTAGCAAAAGATGTTTTTGTTACTTCCATCACAACTGAGTAAGGGAAGCGATGTCCTGTCACGACTATTTTTTACTTCCAAACCAGAGTTTACGGCACCTTTCCACTATGCAGTTCCAAATACACTAAGAACAGCTACAGCTACGTTGTAACACAAAAAACTCCCACCCTGAAAACACCCAAGAAAACAACCACCCCAAAACTGAAGTCCCGTATTCTGATAGTAGCATTCATAAAGCACTGAGGCACAAGCTATCCATAAACCCTGCTGAAATCTGATCACTGAAAAATGAGGAAACTAGACAAACTTCACAAACAGTTACAGAAGCGTAGACTCTCGGCTGTATATTTACGTAGTGAACAAACATATTGTTTCAAGGATTTGCTCAAGTTGCAGATGGACGGCCACTTTCCCCAAGTTTCTTTCACTGACCAGTAACTGTCTTCTAATGACAGCGCAAACTTCGTCATCTTGCTTACTCAAGCACGTACAGCTGTAACAGTCAAAGCAACGCATGACAAAATCTGTGTGGATAAAGGACACCCCCCCCGAAACCTAGGATACTAAAAGCATTGGTCAATTCTGCAGTAGTAACACAGCACAAGAGCAAGAATTAAAGCCAAAGCCCACTTGATCTCCATCTGCCAAAATGGCCACAGAAGCCGTGAATTCAAAATTACACGAAGTACGGTTTTGGGCTGTGGGCACTGCTACCAATTTAACACGTTTATAATACTAAGTTCATTTCACGCAGGACACTTCAGGTTGTCGGGGAATATTTAAGTTTCAGATTTTGTTATTTGACTATCACTTAAGGAAGGCAGGCAGCTGACATAAAACTCAGTCGCTCCATCACGAAGCACAGGGACTTCACCTCTAAGCCTCGTTACCTTGCTTGGCCTTATATCCCAGCCTGCGAGCTTTGTCTGGTCTGGTGGGCCGGGGAGCCCGGTGCAAGGCAGACAGCTGGCGATACTGCCAACAGCGGACACGGAGGAGGAATCGCATCACATCCGACTGCTTTTTCCTCCATAGCTCCTGGATGTACTTGTAGGCACCCATGTTTGTCTACCTGCTGAATGGAGACGTGAAATGAAAGAAGTGCACCAAATACGATTCCAGATTTGAACAGCTTCCAACAGAGACACTGCATAAAACCACGCACGCTAACACCACTGACACGTAGGATGCTCTCAAGCTTCTTTACACCACTGGCACATCTGGTGACACGGCTCACACCTGGCAGCCTCCAACGGGACACGCGGCAGTTACCATTCTCAGCCATTTTCTTCCTTTTCGTATGTTCTTAAGCACTGAACTCCTCAGCTGAGGATTTTTCAGATGTCTATGTCAGATACTACCAAAATCGGTAGTTAACATCTGAACCAAGTTGTAAATATTCATCTATAAAGAAGCATGTGACTGTGAGCAGTGTGGTCTTTATTTTTAACGTTTTTTTATATTTTATTTTTTTCCTAAAAGCCTTTGAGCTCTCACACACCTGCAGCATTAGCAGATGTAAATGAACTCCATCAAGCCACCACACAAATCACCATCAGAAAAAACGCAGCTCGTTTTATTTGCACAGAAAAGACCTGTTCACGCGTGACTTTCCACGCCTCTCTCTGCCCAGCCATGGCACAGCTCTTGCTACCCCTTCTTTGGTTGCATTACGGCATAAAACACCACAAACGGACCGCACACCCGGAGTCAAACCAGGACGTGTCATCGACCTGCACCCGCTACGTTGCGGTGTGCGGCCTTCCCCTCACACCAGGCAACCCTGGGTCCGACTGAGCGTCCCCATCCCCTCCCCGCCCTACAGCCCGGGCAGCCGGGCTGCCCCGACGAGGCGCAGC